TTGCCCAGCCAGGGCATTGGCAGCAGGCCTGGTGGGGTAGTGGGCAGCCCAGCATTGGCGCTGGTGCATCAGGCCTCCATGAGCCATGGCCATAGAGAACAGAGCATCCCTGGTCAGCAGCCCCATGGTTGCCTCATCAACCACTAGTGTGGGCTCCCCTGGATACACAGAAACTATGACAGCTCATGTCCCCTCGACCAGGAGACACACTCCACCACATTGAGCTATAGATCAGATGGCCTATACAGTTATTAAAAACTTCGAGCTGCCCTTTGTCCTCTGGCAGGAACGAACTGCTCTGTTGACCATGCAGCCACAGGGTGCTGGAGGGAGGCAAAGGCTAGGCACTGCAGTCTCTGCCCTTCTCATCTCTGCCCCCGATACCAAGGGGAAGGGAGCAGATACCTGGCAGGAGAGCCAGGGACAAATACAATGGTTGTGTTACACTGGGGCAACACGGGAAGGTGACACGTTCATCTGAGTGCACAGCTAGAGGTAGAAAAGCTTTGGCAGCCATGGGGACAGTGCCCCAGGCTGGAGCAGGACTTTCTGGGAGATTTCATAAACACTTTGCTGACAAACTGGGGGACCCTGCAGGTCACGACAGCCTGGCTGGGGACTGAGGCACCACTAAACCATCCTGTAGGTGTGTGAAGTCAACAGAAGACTCACAGCTGTGGTGTAGTATCTGCAGATCTGGGGACCAGGTATAGGGCCACACGACTCACCAGGAGGCTAAGACCCATTATTGTAGCCCAGATTGCAAGGAGAACAAGACAATACAGGACACATAATTTATAGTATTATTTATGACAGTCACACAAAGAGCTAAATACAAGAAATGTAGGAAAAATGTCCACATGCCCAGGGAAGACCCAGGGAATCCAGCCAAGGGCCTGGATCTCACAGCAATGTCCTGCATGAGACCAGCTGAAGATCTAGAGCCCATGACAGTGACTTGTGCTAGTCTCTTTGACGGATCTGTGCTGGGGGAGCCCAAAGGTCAGTGGTAGAAGCCATAAAGTCTATGCCAACAGGGTGAAGCATCAATGCCAGAGGTTTAGGGACTCTGTACTGGACTAAGTGACCCTCAAAGTAAGAACCAGAGCTCCCCTGACAAGTAGCACAGTCATCCTCAGTGATAACAGGTCCCAAGCTCCTCCAATAATGACAACAGCTGAGTTCCTACCAGAAAAGGCGCTTCACAAGCTCCTCCAGGAGAGCCCACAGCAACTGGAGAACCAACCCCGTGGAGAACCGGTGGCGCTCCTCTCCCGCTCCAGTTCTCCCTTTATTTGGCAGCAATCCTCAAGTGGGCCGACCACGCTGATTCAGTTCAGCTGGTGACACAAGCTGACACCAGTATCAATCTGCCACACCACTTACGCCTGGCACTTCTCAGATCCAGCCTGTGCCTCCCTCACGGCCTCAGCCAAGTGTGCCCACCCAGCTGGCATCGACTTCCTACCCAAGACCATCAGAGACTCACGGCAGGGCTGGCAGGAAGGTCCAGGTGTTTGGCACAGGGCAGAGACTACCTTCATTTAAAGGGTGTGTATTTGGGGGTGTCAAGCTGTCCTCCAGAGGTCATCTTGACATAGGTATGAAGTCACAGGTGTGTCTGCAATTCAGGCAGTGTCCTGCTCAAGCCAGGGTCCTGTGGTCAGGATGGGATAGCTACAAGACAAATGTGCATTAATGAGCTGAGTCTTCCAAGGGCCAGCCCTTTGGTGCAGGTGCTGCTGGTCGTAGCCATTTGCTTCAATTTACTGATGCCTCTTGTGGCAGGCAAAGTAAGCCATGGCACATGGCTCTGTGTTCCCAGGGCAGAGGAGATGGCGGGCACTGAGGTTAAAACTCCAGGGCAGCATCGCGGTCCTCATCCGAGCTCTATGCTCTCAGATACAACGCTGCACTGTTTAGGGATGTGATATTCTAGAAAAGATCGGTATAGCTCTTCCTGGAATTCATTGTTTTGATAAAACACACCTGCCCCTCCCCCAGACAGGCACCCCCTACATCTTGGGAGAAATCCGTGGGGCCTGTGGATCCCATCACGAAAGACTCAGTACTTCAAATTAATGTGACAAGCTGGGTGTGATGGCTCAGTCCAGTGACCCCAGCACTCTGGGAGGCTGAGGCAAGAGGAGCCAGTTAAAAGAGGCCTGAGCAACATAGTGAGCTGTAAGAAACAAACAGGCTGTGGATGCAGCACACTGCTAAGGCCCCTGAGTTCAATACCCAGTACCCAGTGCCACCAGAATAGAACACGGAAACTGTCTTTCACCACTGTAGACCAGGGAGGTCACCTGAGTTTTGAGCAGCCTGAAGAAGAGCTGCAGAGCCGTGGACTGGGTGAAACATCTTTTTACTCAGCTGCTCAGCCAGAGTCCACCTGGTTAGCCGCTCTGCAGCCCTCACCACTGTACACTCCCAGCAGTCCTTGGCTGTTTAGTCTCCATTTATGCCAGATTCACCTCAGTGGCCACGTGCCACTAATGACCTTGGTTATGTAAGTTGTTTATACTAGTCAGCATCGACCTTGGCTACAGAGGATGTTATCTACCCTGAGCTGTTGGGAGAGGGGCCCACCCTGGAGATCCACTGACAGGAATCAGTGAGCCCGGAAGTCACCTGCCCCCAGCCTGAACCTGCTTAGTCATGGCTATACCACCTCATGGCTGATGGTCACTGCAGGCTGCAGTTTATCAGGGCCATGGCTGAGCTGGGCAGGCGGATGCAAAGGACAAGAACAGGTAAGAAAGATTCCAGTGCTGACTGTGCTTTCCATGGTTCTGCCACTCCTCTGAGTAAGCAATCAAGGCGGCGAAATTTTATATAACTTCCACATTTTGGGACCAAGTTGGTCAGACTGCGATGATTTTGGAGACGGGTTGCTGGCCATGGACTTCAGAGGCCCTGCCAATGTTAAGCATGTGTTATACCATGGAGCTGCACTGAACCCCATGACTTCGGATGATCATGGCTCAAGAATGTGCCCTACTGGGCCAGCGAGTTCCCAGACTTATACTGTCCCCTGATATCACTGCTCAGGTGAGGACTCTTGAGGGGCCTCTCTTGCCTTTAAATATCCCTGCTAAGACAGGACTGGCCACTTGAGTAGCTGGAGACTTACTCACTGCAGACCCTTCTTCTTGGTATATGCTAGGAGCTGATCAACACCCTGTGACACCATGAAGAGAGCTGAGGGGAAGCACTGTGAGATGGCCTTAGGATGCTCCTGACTTTGTAACTTCAACCCAGCACTGTGACACGGCAACAGCTGCTCACACAACCAAGCAAGTGACAGGTCCACAGCCAACAGGGCAAGCACATGCCGGACACAGGTATATGTGTGCTTGGTGAACAACACAGAAGAAAGAACTATGAAATTAAGTGGCTGCCTTGAGTGGCTTCCAATTTAACATTCACAAATGGTAGACTTCTGAAATGTTCATGAGAGATTTTCATTCTGTAGTTTCTCACTCTTAATTAAACCAAGTCACGTGCAGCAGAGGACTACAATTCACAAATGGAAAACTACTCTGCCTGAAAAGGAAAGATGGACTGTATCTGCTACGCTGTGAAGGAAACCTGAGCAAGGTTCCTCAAGTAAAATAAGCCAATCAGAAAGACAAACGGCACTTCTCAGGTCCAGCCTGTGCCTTCCTCATGGCCTCAGCCAAGTGTGCCCACCCAGCTGCCATCACCTTCCTACCCAAGAACATCAGAGACTCCTGGCAGGGCTGGCAGGAAGTTCCAAAATGACGACTTCACATAGCGGTCAAATTCACAGAAACAGAAAACCAAACAGTGGCTGCCAGGGTGTAGGACAGAAAGGAAAGCAAGCTGTTGTCTAAGCAGCTGAGGGCTTCAGTTCTGCCTGCGCAAGACAACCGCAGATGGTCAGTCTGCTTTGTGTACATCATAGTATTTGAACAACACTGAAAAGAACACCTGGAAATGGGTAAGATAAGGCTTTGATGATATGAAGGATTTAAGCTTGAACATAAGTAGGAGGAAAAAAATGGGATGAAGATGCTAAAGGCTAGCTAGGTGTCATTCCACAAGGACACAAAATAGTATGGATGCTCATGTGACTGTGAGCATTTTGCTTCTGGAGCCCGGGACAGGACTGTGCCTTAGTCACCATGGGAGGTGCCCGCATTGGACCCTGCATGTGCCAAAGTAAACACTTGACTCTTGATAGGCGGCAGGGAAACCTCCCTAAGATTTTGGCCCAGTCCTCTTGATGAGATAATCCTGTAGGCAAAACATCACCATTTATGCCAGCAGCCTGGCCCAGGTGGGGTCCTGGACTGCCTGAATATGACCCTGAATTGAGGGAAATTGAGATGCTGAGGCCAGGCAGGTCAGTGCATGGTGCAATGGAATGCACCTAGAAAATCCCTGGGCAATGAGGTTGGAGTGCATCTGCCCCTCTATGGAGCACCCATTTTGTCAGTCACTTCTTTGGGCTGGGAGAACTGACCATCTGGATGACTCTCCTCAGACAGCGCAGCTGAACCTTGTGTCTGTCTTCCTGGACCCCAACCCTGTGCCTTTCAGTGTTGCTGGCTTGTATGTGTACTGTGTCATTGTAATGAACCATAACAACGAGTACAAGAACATTGCCATTTCCACTGTATTTTCTAGCTACTCACTGAACCTGAAGATGACCCTCGGGATCACCAACATCATTCAGCACCCTGCAAGAGATTCTGTTTATTCCTAAGAAAAATGCTTCACGCTCAACCCCTACCTGATACCCATGAAGCTCAGACTGCACCCTAGGATTTACCACTAACTCAGAAACCTGTTTTGGGTCTCTCTGAGTGGGGTGAGCTCTCAACTCCTGAGTATCAGTATATACATTTGGCTGGTTGACTGTACTGATCAGGTCGGGATGGATAAGGCAGGGAATCAGGGCTGGTTTGGACACGTGGGTGAAAGCATCACACATGGGCTTTCAGTGAGGAGGGCTGGACACAGACACCAGGTGACAGTCACAAGACTGGTTTACTGTACATCCCATCTTGGGTACAGGAAGGGAACACAGCACCTCTTCTAGCGGGCCACAGCACACAGCTGGTAGGGGGGTGGAGACACTATGAAGGAAATCACACCACGCTCACTGGGCCGGGGCTGCCCTTCTGGCAATGAGAAGCTGAAGCGCTGCAGCAGGCAGGTGAAGAACAGGAAGAGCTCCATGCGGGCCAGGGGCTCCCCGAGGCATATGCGGGGGCCTGTGGGAGTGGACAGGGCACAGTTACATTGAGGCTTGAGCTCCTCTAACCAAGGCACCCTGGAAGGGACAGGCAAGCCTGGTCCACTACAATCACCTGCGGAGAATGGCATGAAGGCCTCACGTTTCACAAAGCGGCCCTCAGAGTCCAGGAAATGTCCAGGGTAGAAGTGCAAGGGCTTCTCCCAGACAGTCTCATCCTTCAGCACTGATGACAGGTTGGCAAGGAGCACCGTCCCCTGGCAGGAGACACACGGCATGAATGTGGCCCGACATACGGGACACAGGAACTCTGACACTTAATATCCTGACATTTAATATCCACAAGCACACTCTATGAGGCGCACAGCGCACTCTATGCACACACCTGCTGGTTGGGTACAGAGTCACAAGGAGACTCTCAATTATCCTTTAGTCCCAGAAGCTTCTCAGGACCCACCTTGATCACATGGCAAAGCCTCAGGACAGGGATCCCAAGAGTGCCCAGAGTCCCACTTTTCCCCATGAGCACAGGATCCTCCAACAACTCAATGCTTGGATGAATTCATCTTCCAACCACACTGGGGATCAGCGGGCACAGGGCAGCACTGGGTGCAGCACCATACACACAAGTTGGGCCTGGCAACACCAGTGGTATTGGGGCCAGGTGGCACAACACTTCCTGGCCACATCTGGGAGTCATGCTGGGGAAGGAGGGCCCAAGGCCTACCTTGGGTATAAGGAAGCCTTGCACCTCAGTGTCACGAGATGTCATGTGAGGAACAGCCACTGGTGTGATGTCTGCAAAGCGCTGCACCTCATGAATCACGGCATTGGTGAAGGGCATACGGGCCTGGTCTGCCATCTCTGGGAATCGTTCCTGACCCATCACTTCATCGATCTCCTGTTGCACACGGCCTGGATAGGTAAGTATGCCCATGCAGGTCAGTCCCTGGAGACGGGGCCCTGAGCGTCCATTCCCCAGTGTTAAAGGCTATGTCCCTGTGAGAGGGACATTACTCTTTCAGTAGCCTTTGAGGAGCTTGTGCTTTGGACCATGAGTTTCTCAAATAAGTTTTGAGACCCTGTCATAACTTCTCTTCCCTCAAGTTCCGATCCATTCTGAGCCCAACTCACGCTGCACATCCGGGTGCAGGATCATGAGGAACAGAGCCCAGGACAATGTGACAGATGTGGTCACCATCCCTGCAGTAAACAGCTCAAATCCAATTTGACGAAGATTCTGTTCATTGAAGGTGCTCTCAGAGTTGCCCTTGGCCTGAGTCAGGCAGAGAGGGTGGCCTCAGTGGAAAGTGGGAGTAATGGCTCAAATGTCCCCATGCACCACCCCTCAGCACAGATGCTGGGTCTCTGGGAGATGCTGAGGCCCCACCTGGCCTCACACCACCCAGAACACTTGGCTCACAGACCCTGATCCCTTCCTTCTCTCACAGCCCATTCTCACCTTAAGCACCTCGTTCAGGAAAACATCAGTCAAATCTCGGGGAGTCTGGTCTGGATCCCAGCCTGTGTTGTGCTCAGCCAACAGTTCATCATTCAAGGCTATGATGGATCTCTGTGCGGGTAGGACTTTGGCAGCCACCCATGGGATGCGCAGGAGCAGTGGCATTGAGTTCAATACCTGTGACAGCACGGAGGCAGCCTGGGTGCTTCCTGTGCTCCAGACTCACAGGTGTCATCTCACACCCAGACGCCTCCATGGTGACCCAAGGCCTGGCACTGCACACCTTTGCCTAAATCCCTCCACTTTGCCAGCATCAAAGCTGTCTCCTGCTGCTGAGCTGCCACAGGAACCTCCTATCACGGAAATCTTGAGAGCTTGTGTCATTGCCAGTGTGGACACAGGCTCTAACTCCTCTCTGCAGCCCTGAGCCTGGGCCTCCTCTCCCATTACTGCTGTCTGCTTGGCCACCACCAGCCCTTTCTCCCTGCAGTGATCCTCCCTGATGCTTTCTTCCCATCCCTCCTGCAGGCAAGTTATCCTCTCAGAGCCTCTGTGCAGGACACTGTCCCTGCACAAGATTCTCATCAATCCTGCACCTGAAGCATGAAGGCACTGTCATCCACCATGAAGTCCTCCAGGGATTTCAGCAACCTGACAAAGTTCGGGTCATCATACTCAAAGTGGCGCGCGTAGATGAGGGAGGCAATCACGTTGCACACAGCTTTGCTCAGCAGCCCGTAGGGGTGAAAGGGCCGTCCTGGGAGTAGGAATGCATGTTAGAGTTGCCCCCTTTCTCCCAGTGACTTCATTGCACTGTCCCTTCCTTGTGTCCCTCAAGCCATCACCCACCATCATGGCTGGCAAAACCATCACATAAATAGGTGGCCTCCTCGATCGCCCACTGCTCCAGAGACTTCTTCCCCAGGCCGAAGTTGCGCATGGTGGACACACAAAAGCGTCGCTGCTCACGCCAGGCGGGCCCATAGGGTGCCCTAACAACCCCTGAATGAAAAGCAGTGTCAGGAGCAGAAAGTACTGGAATCCTTGTACCATCAGCCCATCTTGCCTGCTGATCTGATACCAACTTTGTCTCCACCTCAATGCTACAGCTCCTTTTGCAGGTTTCATGCCCCGAAGACAAGGATGTTCACTGCCATATGAGGTAAGCCCTCTCTTCCTTTAGTTACTGCCTCTGCAGTTCTACCCTGATGCCATCTGTGCCCTATTGACCTTTACCTTTGGCTTTTGGACCAAAGCCAATTATTTCACTGGTGGGTGTTCGCGGCCGATCTGAGGTGTCCTCGCCGTGGCTCACCAGAGCCTCCCGCACAGCCGCCAGCCCATTGACCACAACCACTGGAGTCCAGGCAAACTGCAGGCTGAACACATCCCCAAACCGATGTCGCAGCTGGAGGTAGAGGGACAGGGCGCCTGTGAAGCTGGGATTCCTGCCACAATGTATATCCCCATCTCACTCTCAAGGCCTGGAGACCCAGTTCAAAACATGGAAGAACCAGCTGCACTGCTGTCGGTTTCCTTTTCCTTTATGGTAGTGAAGGTGGCACTGACAGCCTCGCCCCCGCTAGACAAGCACTCTAGCCCACTCCGCCCGGACACCTAGTGTCTGCATGCTGCCGTCACACCTTCTTACGGTCAACCACCCAGGTGTGTCCTGGGAAGAGTGGAGGAACAATCATTGAAATCAATTCCCTCCCATTGTTCAGGTGAAGAAATTCAGGTTCTCAGATAATAGCAGAGAGGGTCAGGAGTCCATGGCAGCCAAAGGATCTGACAGTGCTCAGAGGACCTTTCACAGTATCAACTTCCTGAATCAAATGCTGCCTAAGACCATCTTCCTCTGCTCCTGCATCCCCAGGTACTTCCTTCCCTCTGAGGTACCTGAAGGGACCAGGTGTGTATGAAGCTTCTGTACCATCTAATGTGGTGCCAGTACAGCTATACATCCTGCCCAACCTCCTGTTGCCTGCCCTCTTGGCACCTTTGCCAGTGGAAAGTCCAGAGCCTTCTCTGCTCTGGTGAAGGTCTTCTGCAAACAGGTCTACCTCCCTCCTCTTGGGCTAAGAGGTTATTAGCTACACAGTGTCTTCACCTACCACTCACTGCTGTTAGGCCGACAGAGGGTCACCTGGCTTTTGCTGCTCTCCACCACCAGCTTCCTCACCTTGTAGCATGAGTAAGCCATGTCCTTGAAGTCCACCTGCAGTAGGTTGCCCAGCCCGGGCACAGGCACAGGGCCTGGCGGGTAGCGAGCAGCCCAGCGTTGGCGCCGGTGCATCAGGTCCACCAGGAGCAGGAAGAAGGCCACCGCCACGGCCACAGAGAACAGTGCGTCCCCAGTCAGCAACCCCATGGCTGCCTGCCTTTGTGACCACTAGGTTCCACTGCCTCAATGGAACTTTTACCACTCTAATCAGCCAGAAGCACACTCTACCACTCCCTGCATATTAGAACAGACCAGCTGTCCTTTTATAAAGCAGCTAAGACTGCCCTTTGTCCTGTGTTGTGAGACAACCTCTCTGCTCATTGTGCAACCAGAGGGTGCAGAGAGGGACCAGGTCAGAAGAGTTCCACAGGCTCTTGCCCCTCATGCCTCTTCCTGTTGACACACAGGATGAGGAGGGTCCTGAGAAGAGAGTTCCATGGAACTAGACAGTCTGGTTATGTGGGTTTCAGCATTAGGTCATGATGGATCACTGCTCCAAGCACAATCAAAAGCAGGTAGAGGTCAGGGACCTGACAGACCAAACCAGCAGGACTCTTACACTGTGTGATGGTTTGTCACACTGCACTAAGACGGTTATGCAGGTGCCATGGAGAATTTTCCTGTTCAATTTGTGTCTAAGGATGCTCAAAGCCAACTCCAGAAGTTTCAGCTGCTTTCCAGCCTTTCTGACAAGGCCACAGACAAACAGGTCACAATGAGCCTCTTCTCCAAGTGAAGCACACAAGCACACTCACATACAGGGAACCTTGACTTCATCACCCTGGAGGACAGAAACCAAGACCTGTTTCCAGGCTAGAGATGCCTGAAAAATCTCAGCATTAAGCAGTCCTCATTCATGAGATTCCAGGCTTCTTCTCCGTATAAGATGAGAGGGCTTGTGCAGCAGAGCCACAGCAGTTCCACTTGTATTTCCCTGTGATACAAGTGACTTTTTCCTTGGAAAGATGTAAGATTCTTGACTCCTTACTTCAACTGACATTTAACTGGACCTTCCATGGAGTAGCGTGTGCCTTTCTTTCAAGCTACTGTTTCACACCCTCATCTGAAGATTCCTCTGAGAAGTCCGGTCAACTTGAAAATAATTTACAAAAACCATAATGCAAAATTCATCAGGGCCTATTGAGGCTGTGTGACAGCACCTGCTCCAGCTAGAGAAGGGGACATGAGTGGGTGGAGCAAAGAGACTTTTAGGGCACAACAGGGGGTTGGGGAAGAGTTTCCAGGCAGGGGACAATAGTCATGCATCCTCAGTGTGGGTAAGAGATGGTGCTCAGGGGCCCTGTCTCTGGTCACACATGCAGCTCCTGGACTCCTCGGATGGTGTTTTGGAGCTGTTTCTCCCCACATCTAAGCAGCACATGAAGCATGCACTGCACCAGTGGACGAGAACCAGAGTGCTCCTCACTCTCCTAGGCAGTGGTTCCTCAGTGCACCATCCCTATTTGATTTGATGCACCTCAGTCAGCAAGCTGATTGACTCAGGACATAACAGGCTTTTCTCTTTCCCCTATACCTTGACCAGGTGGTCATTATTGGTAATGCCGTGATGCATAGCACAGCCCACGACCTCATCTAGTGGTAAAGAGTAGAGGGGAGAAGTCTGGGTTCAGCCTCACGGTCAGCACCTGTCACTGTCCAGTCCAGCCCCGCAGACTGCAACACCAACTTTTCCCAAACATTGCTGAATCCATGTGTTGTAGTACTGGACCTCCTGTGCTGCTCCTAATCAAAAATCCACCACCCACTGCCCCTCAGCCAGAGCACCGCCACAGGACATTCCATTGGCTTGTGTAGGAAAGTGGGTTTTTGTGTAAAAATGCAAGTGGGAAAAACACTGGTGCTGAGTCACAGTGAGAAAAAAAAAAAAAAAACAAGACAGAGTACAAATCCGTGTGGGGCTCAGAAACAAACTTTCATGCCCCTCTACCTTTGATCATTGCATTCAGGTCAGCAGGGTACACAGGCTTCTCTGCATGATGTGGCAGCTCTGGGCAAGTGACACAGAAGCTCTACCCCCTTCCTGAATACAGGGACAGGTGTGTCTGGTACACTCTAAGTCACAGGAGAACTGGCCCAGTAGGACAAAGCACAAAGGCCCACGCTGCAAGGAAATTTCCTTTCCAGAGCATAGATATGTTTTCAACCATGGTCACATCTTCCTCATCTTCTCAGTTGGAATTCTTCCAAATCCTACCTAGGTACCTGCCCTCTGTTCTACCTATTCTTGTGGCCCTACTCTTTCTCTTTGCAGAAAAACTCACACAGAAGAATAGATCTGGATTTGCTAGAATTAACATGTTCCGAACATGTTGTGTGCCAAGCACATTGCACTATTACAGAACTTCCATAACATTTCCTTCTGGTGACAATCCACAGTGCTGGATCCTCCAGGGACAGACCAACCAGGGCTCACAGATCTCACAGAGCAGGAACCTGAAAAGCAGAAAAGGTGGCAAGTAATGTTTCTGCAAAAATGATCCAGTATTCCTAAAACAAATCAAACTGCTTCAGTGACGGCCTCTCTAATCCCTGTTACACCCTGTCCACTGGTTCACTTTCTTCAAACACTCAGGGGAGTGGCTTTTGCACTCACCCGTGATTAGGCCCTTATGGGGCCTGCTTGTTGCTCTGTACCTATCACATAGGTGATGACACCCTGGGAAGGCAACTCCCCTTTCACCTGTCTTCAGGGGACAGAGACAGATCCACCTTTGCCACTTAATTCCAAGTCCTGGACCCACCACCATCCCCAGAGCACTCTCTGATGACTCACAGAGCAGGGACCATCAGCTGTGGTGCCACCTAGACCTGTTTCTCCCTCCTGGAGGTGACAAAACTCTGCACGGGCCCCTGGCTCGCTCTCCCTCAGCTCTGCAGCACTGTATTACACTGAAGCCTCCACAACCATTTTTATACTTCAGATCTAGAATGTTCCCAGCAGTATCATGTGTTGAAAGAATGAACTTTTAGAAGGCAATTGGAGCATAGGGGTGTTGTACTCATCAGTGGAGTAGTGCACAGAAAAATACACAGTGAAATGTGCTGTCAGCAGGTGAGGCCTGGTGGGAAGCGGAAACATGGGATGGTGACCCAGCACAGTATGTGTTCCTCCCTGGCTCCTCTCCCCTGTCTCTGCTTCCCTGCTGCCATGATGCAAGCAGCTTTTCTCTGCCAGTCCTTCCACCACAACTTTCCTGCATGGCAGATGGCAGGCTATGCACTCAGTTCTCTAAAAGTTGTGAGCTAAAGACCCACATCCTGCTTTAATTCACGGTCGTACACTAATGTGTCCAGGGAAGGGGAAACTAAGACAGCACCTGAAAGAGATCACAGCCAGAGAATACTGACCTGGCACAGGCAGAGAAACAAGTGTTCTGTCGGGTCCTTCAAAACAGGCACATTTCTGTTGGGGACCACAAATTATAAACTGACACTAGGCTATGTTTGAGACAGTGCTTGTCCTGTGTTATGCTCCAGTCAGAATGTGGAAACCGCCCCCTCAAGCACAATTTGTCCCTGCTGCTTTTACAGCACATATTTTGAATCCATGTACAGGAAGTAAATACACTCCTGCTCCACTGTATTGACACCTATACAGACCCTCCCGAGAGAACTTTCCTGAGAGGCTGAGACATTTAGCACACCAGTTCCCAGGCCTTGATTATGGCAAACTTGGGGCTAAATGAAATATTGTGTAGAACCTTGCCCTGCCCTAGATTGTGGGGGTCAAATAGATGGTCATAATATGTGCCCCACTAAGGACACTGTTAATATGATAGCTAAACAGTCACAGCCTAAAAACTTCAATATGTTTTTACAATCCTTGTATTTTCAGCATAGAACTACACTCTAGAATAAAACTTCTGTGGACTTGTGCTTCGGGGTCAGAGCCACAGTGGTCAAAAATTCATAATCACCATATACCCTGAGATGTTCCTCGATGTCAGCATTGGTGGGCATGAAGTTGGCCACTTAATGATTGATATTCTATGTAACAGACACCAAGCTTCAGGCACAAATGTGTGTGCTAGAGGCCTCCGTCCTTCAGATGCGAGAGCAAAATAACAGTGCAGTTACAAGAAGGCCTTAAGGATCACTATAGGAAGAGAAACAAGTGTTCTGTTGGGTCCTTCAAACAGGCATATTTCTGTTGGGGACCACAAATTATAAACTAACACTAATCTATGTGTTGGACCAGGAATCCAACAGAATTGCCACTGCTGTGCCCTGATTGACTCCTCTAAAAATGTGTACACGTGTTCAGTAAATAGTAGCAACCTTAGAGAGTCCTCGCCTTTGCCCATCCTGAGGCACTGACCTCACAATCCCCACTGTGTGCATTCTTAATTTTGTCTTTTATTTCATTCTTGATCATATTCCTCATACAGTTAGCTGAGGGTCTTGGGCAGGTCCTGAGCACAAGTTTCCTCATGGGAACACAAGGCCTCCTGTCACAACCACTGGACTGATTTACCTCCCTGGTCCCTTCTAAGGGCCACAGTTCCCTGCAGAGAGATCTCTACATGCTGCCTCCTCACAGCGATGCCTTCCACATTCAGAACAGAGAGGAGAACACAAAAAGACCCTACTTTCTTTTCAATTTAATGTTTTTGGAGACAGGGTCTCACTGTATATAGCTCAAGCTGACCTTCATCTCACAGCAATCTTCCTGTCTTTGGCTCTTGAATGTGGGAATTATAGGTGTGTGCCAACATGCCAGGCTTTGAAAATACCTGCTTCCCTACATGCATCCTCTAGAAGTAAAAACGATTCTATATGCAAAACAGTGTTTTTGACAATGGTGATTCAGTTTTTCAGGGCGTGATTCCTTTCTGTTTCAGACAAATGAATAGGGTGAGGGTTTTGTGTTTGGAGCTATGGAAGAAAATTCCTAGACCAAGGGACTCAAAGGCGAGAATTCTATTCATCAGTACTATGAGCTGGACAGCAGTGATATGTGATAGAACTGTGGGGGGAGGACCAGCGGCGGCTGAAAAGATAAGAAGTATGAAATATAAATGACCTTTATTTTGGGAATGTGGGGAGAGACACCCCAACCCCAGGGGTGTGGCATCTCCACCTTGGGGCCGGCGATATCTCTGTGGAACACATGGAGTGAGGTACATAAGTAGCCTCTGCTTGGGGTAGAACCTAAGGGGGGCATTAGGGATGCACAGGTAGCCCACTGGTCTTTGTTTGGTGCCAAAGGTAAATTCCTGAGGGTGGGGGAGATAGAAGCTCTTTGGCTTTACCGGCTGCAGTGTCCAGCCTGGGCCAAAACCCTTTCATATCCCGTCTTATGATTATTATGAAAAGGAGTGAAGATTTTTCTCTTTAACTGCTTCCTGCTGGCTGAGGGTGCTCTACTGGGGTCTAGGAGAGTTGACGGGATGACAGTTGATGCCCAGGTAGAAGCTGGTGTCAGGTGTTTTGGCCAGAACAACTTTACTGGTGAATGCATATATGTTAGACTGGAAAAACAAAGAGAGAAGATGTTATGAGGAGACATGGCACTGTCATATTTAAGGACCCAGGTGAGGTAGAGGGAAAGGTGCCTTTGATTTAGACATGTCATTCTATCAGGACCATGTTGAGGTAGAACCATTTTCATGGTAAGGCAGAATTCTGAAAATTAAACGTGGGATGAGGAGGAGTGAAGTTATGAGAGTGCTTACTCCCCCATCTGAAAGCATAAAAGTTAAAAGGTAGGTGGTAAGGCTTGTCTCTGGTATGTATGACACTGGAGTCTGTAGACAATGCTGTTAATAAGTCCTGCTATAAAAATGGTCATTAATAGAATGTAAGAAATTAGGAACCAAAGTAGATAACAAAACATGACACCCTGTGAGTTATGGCAATGAGGCCTTGGTAAGACAGAAGTAAGTAGGAAAAGAACGATCAGATCTAGGGCCTGAGTGATGTGAAACCAGAATGGCAGTCTAGCAAATTAGTCCTTGGAATGATTTGTTGTAATAGAACTTTAGCAAGTATATCAGCAGTTTACCTGGTTGTGGGAAAGGCTTTTATGTATCCTGAAAAAGTATAAACAAAGTGAGAAGACAAAATGTAACTGTCAGCCTGTAAAAGCAAATAAAAGCCTTTTAAGATTTAGGACTAGGACCTGCACAAAATAGGCCCTGTTTGTAAATGGCATAGGTTGACCTCCAATACCCTGTCAGAGATTGAGGACTTATTATAGCAGCCTGAAAACTCAGGAAGAACTCTGTATATATGGCCTCTATGTCCACAAATATAGAGAATGTCTTACCTTGAGAGTTTTAGTGTGACTTGGACTCTGAGACTGACACCCACAAAGGGGGCTGTTGTTGGCCCTTAGCCCCTCTCAGTCTTTGGCAGCAATTTTTGTTGACAACAAATCTGGCAGTGTCCTGTGAGGGCTAGAAGTTAGGATGGCCCACCCACTCTCTGGTGGCCAGGACAGCCCATCAGCCCTGGAGTAAAGTCTCAAAGAACGCCAGGATGAGGCACTTTTTTTGCCTGATGTCTTCTTCTGCATTTGAGCATGGTCGGGGGGGGGGGGTAGGTAGCTCCACCTTGTGTAGGTTTGTCTGTCTCAGAACTGCAAGTGTTATAAGTGTTAAAATATGAAAAATCATATTAAGATCTCTCTAAGGTTTGAAGGTCAAGTTTTGCCTTGTTGTTTTGAGATCTGGACTACCATGAAAGGTATCTGTAGAATGAAGTAAGTATGCAGGAGTTTAATATTGACATTTTAGGTCAGAGAGCAGGCTTTATCTAGATGGCATACTGCTTTTTTATAGGGTGCCACGTGGAATTCACAAAAAAGGCTTTAGTCTGCCCAAAAAAGGTTTTAGTCTGCCTTTTGCATTTTGGAGTAAAATCTTAATGGAAACATTTTGCAGTAAAGTTTTATCAATCTTATGAATAAATCTATTAAAACTGATCTAATACTGTCAAATTTTGAACATATTTAGTTGTTTTTAAATCTGTTGTTTGCAGTAGTATGAACCAAGAGAAATAAAATAAAACTTTGAAGGAAACCCTTATCTTGGAAGAGAGCTAGTGGTTTTCAGCAAAAAGGAATTTATAACCTTAATTGTTAAACAGGAGATTGGCAACAACACAGTACAACAGTTTTGAGTGGAACTGCCGAACTGGTATCTATCTGTGCCTGTGTTTAAAGCAGCGCTTGTGTTTGGGAGGAGCCTGTCTGGGAAACGCGCACAATGAAGCTGAGACAGACAGAGCATGACTGCAGAGAGCTGTACCCATGCTTGGGGGCGAAGCTGAGACTTTTTGGCATGTAGCGTGTAGGTGGAACATGCAGAGTGGGCGGAGTGAGCACCAGGACACAGTGCACAGGGGTGGGCTCAGATCGCACATGGAAATGGGCACACGGGAAAGGATGGGCTGGGATGGCACCCGGAAACACACAAGGCAGCTGCAACAGTGCACCGGGGTGGGACTAGCAGACTCGCGGTGGCAGCGGCTCGCTGTTGCTGTTGGAACTGGCAGCGTGCGGCTCGAAGGGCAGCAGAGGCAGGGGCGGCAGCGGGGGCGGGGGCGGGGCGGCGGCAGGGCTGGGAGACACCACGACACAGCTTGAAGCCAGGAGCAGCTCCCGGAGGCACACAGCCAGCAGCCGGCGAACTGCCACCTGGAGGAGCCACCCAGGGCGTGGTGCCAAAAGCTGAACCTGCAGCGTGGACCAGGGCGCAGCGTTAAAACTGAACTGCGTGTGTGGACCTGGCTGCATGAGAGCCGAAACACCATGCGCAGAGTTGGAGGCTGCGGCGTGAAAGCCAGAAAGCTGTTTAAAATCTAAAGCAGTTTGTTTAAAATCTAAAGCAGTTTTATGTGTATCTCTTAACATTGTTTGGTCTCATTTTTTTTTTTATCTAGGCAGGGAATGGGTTGGCATGCACGGGAAACAAAGGGATGCTGGCGGCTTGGTGGGGAGGGGAAGACGGGAGGAAAGGAGACACTGAGAAAGCTCCGAAAGGCTGCAAGGGAAGACGCTGCTATCTCATTAAGTGCGGGGAGAGGGAGGGATCCTGGAGGAGTGGGAAAGGACACACGTTCCCAAAACAAAGATAGAGAGTTTTGTAAGCTTGTCACCAGTGTGATAAGCCATAGATTGGTATGGTTTTTGGGGGAGAGATCACCAGGCACAGGGTGGAGATGCCACACCCCACGGGGTCGGGGGTGTCTCTCCCCACATTCTCAAAATAAAGGTCATTTATATTTCATACTTCTTATCTTTTCAGCTGCCACTGGTCCTCCCCCCACAGTTCTATCAGATGGTTCCCTGACCGGGAATGGCAGGTGAGAGACTCCTAGGGCTGGTTCCCAGTTTTGAGTCCCCTGCTGTTCAGGACCAACCGGACTGCAACCTGCATTAATTCCTCACTTCTACACTCAGGAGCCGTAAGCTTGTCGCTGCTGGTTCTCAAACAACACCCACCAATTTACCACAGATGAACAACTCCCCGGAGACAGCCACTGGGCCAGGCTCAGGTGGATTTTCTCCCCTCTTTGCATGGGTTCATGATGCTTTCACATCCTTTGGACAGCCCAAAACAGGGTTTTTCTGGGCAAGCCTGTGTCCACTCTGGACCACCCACACTGAGACACCCTCGCGTTCTTTAGAGCTTTTTAAGTTCTCACGGCAGAGCGGTTACTCAGCCCACGTAAAGTCCACTCATAATATTGGTGACGGCCAATTATTAGGAGTTTGGAACCATATTAACTGTTCGGTCTGCAGTAAAAAAGTGACAACTTTAGGCTTGGCAGACCACGGTCCGCTGCTTCATCTGATTGTAACCCCATGGGCTAGACCCCGCACCAGATTTTATCTCAGGGACCACTTCCTGTCACCCCCCCCCCCAAAGAAACCATACCTATCTAAGGCTTATCACACTGCCGACAAGCTTACAAAACTCTCTATCTTTGTTTTGGGAATGTGGAGAGAGACACCCTGACCCCCTGGCGTAGCATCTCCACCCTGGGGTCGGCAGTCTCTCTCCATGAAACACTTGGAGTGAGGCACATAAGTAGCCTCCGCTTGGGGTGGAACCTAAGGGGGGAATTAGGGATGCACAGGTAGCCCATTGGCCTTTGGCACCAGAGGTAAATTCCAAAGGGTGGGGGAAATAGAAGCTCCTTGGCTTTACCTGCTGCAATGTCTGGCCTGGGCCAAAACCCTTTCACTATGCAGACCCATTCCCCTAATGCTGAGAAATTACATGCCAAACTAGCAGACTCAAACACAGTCAATTTATACTTTAAAGACATGTCATAGCACATGTGATGAGGAGCACTGTCAGCTCAAGCCAACATGATCAGCTGTGGCTACTGGGCCTAGGATCACTCCTTTTTATTGGGGTCTTGCCTAGATCCCCAATCTCCCAAACGAGTGCATGGCAAAGTCCCAAAAAATGAGATAAGCAGCATGATTTTTAGGGTTCCAGAGGACCAAAACAGAATTCTTAACTCTGGTAGCTGAGACAGACAAGGTGTCTGAGAGGTCCCAATTTATTTAGTATTCAAACAAGCAAGGGGTTAGAGTGGAAAATGCAAGAAACCTGGGAGGAGTTCAAGGATCCCTCCAAGCAACAACAGACAATGCTAAGAGAACTCTGCTAGGAAAAAGTCTCCAGGTGTCCTCAGCTGTAGTCTGCCTTACCCTCTGCGGTGTCTCCTTGTTCTCAGTTCCACCATGCCCAGGTCATGCCACAGCCCTGCACCTGTATTCAGCTTCAATGGCTCCAACATCTTTTGGTCCTGTTTAATAGAATTATATTCCCTGATGTATCATTTAGACATTCCATGCCTGTGCTCTTAAGGTAAGCCTATAATCATGAGAGTTTTTTAAAAACTCAACAGCACTTCCCAAAGGCCCATCCTAGGGAAATCTTCCAGAAATCTTTGCATCTCATAGCTGGGGGGCAGCATTTCAAATACTCAGGATTTCGGTTACTTTATGGGTCAGTAAGACAAAATTCTGAGACTCTAGTTGATGCAGTACATGCTTGAGCATTTCAGGGAGGAGATACACACCTATCTTTGTCTTGCAGAAACAAAGGACAACAAGTGGGTGAACGGAAACATCATAAAGTACTACGGACATATGGCTCTTAAACTTCCCAGGGTGAGGAGCCTGATGGAAGGGAGAAGATGTAGAAATAACGGTAAGAAACAGAAAGCTGAGATCAGATGGAGCCCTCCCTCCAGAAGGGAGGAAAGGCACTGCTCATCCAATGCAGTCTGTTGATTTATACAGCTAGCAACTTAAAGTTAGGTGACAGTAGCCATCAGCCCCCATGGTACCCTAAGGCGTTGGTGCTCTCTGGACTGGAGCACCTGTTTGCCTGAGGTGCCTCCTTGCACTCAGCGCGTTCTTTGGACCTTCCATGCTTTAGACTCCACACTTCTTTAGCTCAGTGGCATAAGCACCTGCCTGGCAAGTGCGAGTCGGGAGTTCCATCCCTGGCACCAAATTTTTTTAAAAAGTCGCATTTGCCAGTTAACGCCTGACCACATTGGGTCCCAGATGCCCACAAAACTCCTATCAATGCCGCCCATACCTCTTGGCCCAGGCCTCCCTCCTGCCTCCTCCTGGCCCAGAAACTCCCACTTCCGGGGAGCTGGAGAATTCTCTGAGGCGATTCCCAGACCCAGCTTCCCTCCTCGCATCCTGCATCTTCTCAGAACTCCTAGCCTCTGGGGATGCCCTCCAGGAATCTGACCTTCAAACAGCGCCCAGCTGCTACTGCAGCGCCTCAGGCTCAGGTCACAGGGCCACAGCGCGACAGCGACACCTGCTGGGCGGCCCTGGGACCCCGCCGTTCCCCTCTCCCGGGTGCGGGGAGCCCGGCCCGACCCCGGGGCAGCGGGAGCCACCAGGTCCCCGCGGGGCTCGGCACTGCTGTGCTCGGCGGCCGCCTCTGCCCTTCCGTAGTAAACAGCTCTGGCCTCCTGCTCATCCTTCCGCACACAGAGCGCGGCGGCCGAGGACGCGGCGGAACTGGGGACCCACGGCGGCCTCACCCCGGGCGCGGGACTGTGGCGGCCCTCAGGAGGCTGCAGCCTGGAGCCCCGGCTCGCGGTCTCCCGGGGTGACGGTCCCTGCTGTCCCGCGCTGGTCGCCCTTACCTCCAGGAAAGCGGCGGAAGCTGTGGGGCTGCACTAGAAGGATGCGGAGGAGAAGCCTGGAAGGAGGATTTTTACCTCAACCTGCTCTCAGCGCCCGCGGGGACTTGTAGTCCGCTCAAGCGCAAAGCCCTTTGGGAATGGTAGTCCCGTGATTTCTACACAGTGGTGGGTGTTTAGAGTGGGAGGGTTTCCTCCTGCCTACTGTGGGCTCCGCAGTGAGCCGGTAACTATTTTGAACACAGTGAAGGTAACTCATCTCATGTGAGGAGACGGTCGGAGTAAAACTAGCTTTCTATTAAGAGATGATGGAAATAAAAACAGTAAAACTATTGGATGATATATTTAAGTACAGTTAAATAGACCGCTAACCACATTTTCTCTGTGTAGCCAAAGTACCCGTTCATGAATGAACGAGAAATCAAGACAATTCCAGTGAAACAAAAGTTGAGGGAGTTCATTATCAGCTGACTTGCCTGCCTTGGAATGTGCTGTAGAAGGAACTTTCCTGGCTGACGTGAACACCACCAGACAGTAATCAGGAACCATAGAAGAAATAACACTGGACAAGGTAACAACAGAGGCGACTATGAACGCGTTGTTGAGTTTTCACTTTGTTTTTCCTCATTTTACCCCTACACAATTTAATAAATACATAAAACAATTACACAACTATGTTAAAGAGTGTGTAATGTACACAGGTATAATGTGGAACAATAGCAATATAATAATGTGAGGATGGAAATGGTTAGGAACAGTGGAGTTTTTAAACTATAAACATAAATTATTGAAGCCAAGACCACACACCAGTAATCTCAGGAGGCTGAAAGAATAGGAGCTGAAGTTCAAAGCTAGCCATCTGAAAATGAAATTGAAAAACAATCACACTTAAAATGGCATGAAAAAGAATGAAATTTAGCTAGTAAGTAATCCAAAAACTGAAGTGAAAACTAAACCATGGCTAAAAGAAGTTAAGATGGCAATAAAAATTTTAGGAATGAAAAGAAGAACGAATCTGTGAAAGCACTTTTTATTGTTCATGGGATGGGATGAAGTATTTTTTGCATTTTATGGAGCCCAAAGTGATCTGCGCATTTACTACAACTCCCATCAACATCCCAACACTGTTTTGTTTTCTCTTGTTTTGCAGAAATAGAAAAATGTTCTCTAAACTTTTATGGAATGTCTGAGGACCCCAAAGACAAAAATGATCTTTAACGGGAACAAAGGTAGAAGTCTCATATTTCCTGATTCCCAGAAAGTACAGACGTTCCTTGAACAGTGTCTTGCTAGGCCTACCGTGAGTTGAAAATGAATCAAACACCTTTTACCTGTCAAACGCCTTTTACCTGCTCAACAGCACAGTGCTGCAACACCTGGAGGGCACCAGTGGTCCATCCTGGTGACCCTTTGGTGTACTGGGAGTTACACCCACTGCCACTGCCCAGCATGCCCAGAAAGTGTCCAGGGGCACATTGGTACCTTAAGAAAAGGGGCAAAATTCAAAAGCTGAAGTAGAGTGTCTACAGAATATACACAGCTTTGTATAATCCCAAAATCCAAAATTTTATGCTGAAGTATTGTTTAGGAACATCTGTACAAAACTAAAGTTATCAAAAGAGTGTGGTACTTGTAAACAGAGTCATATGCACCAGTGAATGGGCATCCTAAGAACAAACTCTGATGGACAATACATGCTTCATTGTAAGAGCACAATTATGATTAGTAAAGACACAGTTGCAGAATAACAATATTATAAATATTTTATAACAAGTGGAAATCAAATAATAGCCCATGCCTGTGTTCCTGCTGCCTGTCAGATAAACACCCTGCTAAACTCAGTCAGCCTTGACTTCCTGGGTCCAGTTGCTTTTGTTCTGGGTAATGCCCTGGGCCAACATGACCATTCTCAGCTTGTGTTTCCCTTAATTAAAAAAAGATAATGCTTTTAACTGGCTTCGGGGATTTTGGTCAAGTCGAAGCAACACAGTCAAAGATACTTTTGAACTCTGCTTACTCTGCTCAAGCCCCCTCCCCTCATCATCAGCCTGCCACCTATCTTGTACTTCCTGCTTGCATATTGTTATGTTGATCTATTGTGTCAACTTGAGTAGTTTAGAAATTTAACTAAGAGACTCCTCAGGGAGCAGGATCCCTACTTTGTAAATATCCTTAGCTGTGCAAGAGGAGCTCAGGGAGATTTTGTGAGTGGCAGGTGGCCTGTGTACAATACACAGGAGGAAAAGGCTTGCCCCCCTCCTTTTGCTCTTACTGCTTTGCTGCCTACTGCAATCTGGAAGTGTTGCCCCGTGCCATGCCACTTTGCCTTGGAGTCAGCTGATTATAGACTGAAAGGTCCACAAACTGTGAGCTAAATAAACTTTCCTTCCTTAATTTTGTATGTCAGGTATCAGAGAAAAGTAACTAGGACAGAATTTGGTACCAGTAGCCTGGGGTCATTGCTGTGACTATACCTGACCGTGGGATCATAAGTCTTTGGTAATGGCTTGAAGGAAGAGTCTGGAAAAGGTTCAGAGATGTTGGTTAAAAGAGTAGCCCTTGAATGGTTTAGGCTGTTCTGTATGGGAGATTCTGGTTACAGCTCAGAAAACCAGTAAAGAACAGGTTTGGGACATTACTGCAGGGAAGGACTGCATTGGCTGCTGGACTCCAGACATTGTGTGTAATGGCTTGGCAGAAAGTTTGTCTGCGTTTTGCTCATGTCCAAAGACTTTCCCTGAGACTAATATTAAGGGAAGAAGACTAATTATTTTGCCAGAAGAAATTTCAAGACAGTCAAATGTTCAGGCTGTGGAATGGCTATTGTTAGAGATTTTCAGTCAGATTTATAGCAAGAATCAAGAGCAAAGAGCCCAAAAGAATGATTTAAAACATTGTGAGTTTGGCCAGAAACAAAGCTCTAATAAGCCATGTATTATAAAGATAGAGCTGAGGAGATCTGGATTGTTGAGAAGAATACAAAAGATGGCCTGAAGGCATCACAAAAAGCAACAAGTCTCGAAACTTTGCACCCTCAAAATTGCGAAAGTGAAAGACTTTGCATTGAGGCAAAAGCCACAGAGCACCATGTTCTAGATTGGTGGGAGCATCGAAAATTTGTTCATCATAATTGGATTCAGAGTGCCCAGCAATCCAAGGACTCATCTCCTACAACCAAGAGAGAGGAAAGCCAAGCTACTGCTCCACCTAGTAGCAGAACTCAGCATCATCCATGTGGCATTGGTTTTAGGTGCACACAGAATGCAAGAGTTCTGAGATTTAAAAGGCTTCCACACTGATTTCAGTAGGCCTGGGGGGGCTAAGCAATGTGCCACTGAGTACGCAATGTGTGAAGCTATGAGTGTGAAACCAAACATGCTGGGAGAACCCAGAAGTTTGGGAAGGCCAAGAGTGTGGATCATCTAAGGGAACCTGTAAGAAGGGAGCATAGCCAGCCCAAGAGAAAAACGATGGAAACAACAACTACCACAAATGCTTAAAGGGTGGAGTCCCTCAAGTCTTTTGGAGCTCAAATCTCCATTGCTTCAGATGCAGACATGGAATCCAGGACTTAATGTTTGCCCCGCTGGAGTTTGGAATTGCGTTGGTCCCATTCATTTCTATCCTGCTGTTTATACCTTGGGCCATTGAATGTTGTAAGTGTTGAACTTTGTTTTCATTTGTGCAGGGGCTTGGATCTACAGTTTGCCTTGCATCTCTGAAGAGGCTTGGGACTTGGACTTCTCAGCAATACTGAAACTGTTAGGACTGTGGCAAGTATGGATTACATTCTTTTTGCATAAAGGGATGTGCATGAGTCTTTAAGGGGCTAGGGGAAGAATGTTATAGTTCTAACAATATAATGATGATACATTTACTGCTGGACTTACGGATTTGTAAACCTGTGTTATAATGATCAAGTTTGAAACGGTAAGAATAGGTTTGTCTTTGTATCTGGAAACCTGTTTAAAGAAATGTGTCTGGTTGCCAAGTTGACAAGGGATGGATTGTTACGGTGGAATCATTGTGTCAATTTGAGAGGTTTAGAAGTTTAACTAAGAGACTCCGGAGTGAGCCAGGATCCTTACTTTGTAAATATCCTCAGCCTGAGCAGGAGGAGGGCAAGGAGATTTTATGAGTGCTTCGCCTGCCCTGGAGAGGGGTGGCCTGTGTACAATCCAAGGGAGGAAAAGAGGCTTTCCACCATTTTTGCTCTTGTTGCTTTGTTGCCTTCTGCCCTCTGGAATTGTTTCCCCTGGGCCATGTCACTGTCCCTTAGAGCCAGCTGACTATAGACTGAAATGTCCACAAACTGGACATTTAAACGTTTTCTGCCTTCATTTTGGGTATTGGGTATTTTGTCCCAGCAATGAAACAAAAATAACCAAGACAAAATCTATATCTAAACTTAATCCAAAACCACGTCAGTGCTAGTGTTTTGGGCTTGATCCCACTAGCCTGTTAGCACAATAAACAATTGTCTTTTACCGCCTAGGTGCAAAGAGTCTTCCATTGGGGTTCATATTGATTTTTCTGTAACATTCTGGTGCTCTGGCCAGGAAGACACTATGCTGAACACTGAGGGTCACTGGTGTAGGCCTGTGGCTTACTGCCTAGGCTCAACCTCATCTGCAGACAAGAAGCCATGCTCTCTGGATCCATTTTAGGATTCTCCTCCAAAGTTGAAGGAGGAAATTCTGTGCAACAGTGGAGATATCATCGGACCCTGGGAGGAGTCACAATACAACAGGCCCAAGTCCTTGGACAAGGTAGGCATTCCCCAGGTTTTCCCCACAGTTAACCTAGGGAACCTGCTTGTTACCACCTCCACTGTGGGAGGACGAGCTGATGACTCCCCAAACAGCCTCATCTGCACCTGTTCCAATTCCACTTGCTGTTGAGCTGCAGCTGCTATAGACTTGTCCCTGGCATTGAGGCTGGAAATGTACTCCCCTAGGCAATCTGTTTACTTCGTTGTTACCTACGTGTTTACCTGCTTGTTACTATCCCCACCGTGGATGAAGGAGGACCCAGTCAGTCCTCAACATCTCCACCTGGTACCAGTTCTGGATCCAGTTCTTGTTTTGGTCAGAGTACTGGACTGCAGCTGCTGTTCCCACCGGATTTGCCCATGGGCTTGGGGGTGGGCATGAGTTAACTTCTGTGTGCCTGTGTGCAATTGTGTGTATATACACACAAAAAATGGAACATACAGGCCAGGGTCTCCTAAACTCAGCTACGTACTGAATAAAAATGGTTTAATCAGTTTAAAAACAAAAGTAATTAAAGAAAAAATTTACACTGTAATGATTAAAGACATGCAAAGGCTGTGTATCTTTAATACACCAGAATATAAGGCAGCTGATGCAGGTAGATAGCAAGGGAACAAAAGAGCCCAAGCGAGCCCTTGCTTGACATCACCACTCTGGCCCTTTCTGCAGACATTTGAAAGCTAGGGTAACTGCAACCTGGGCCTGTCAACCTAAGGAACTTTTATAGGACAAATCAAATGACAAGTTGTAACTAATTGGTCATTATACTTTTGGTTTTCAATTTGAGTCAGTGTGCATAAGCATTTCTTATACATTAGAAATGTTTGAATTTACAAGGTTAGCTTGATCTTTTCTCTAGTCTATTGTTTTAAAATAAAAAAAACCAATTCAAGGTTACTCAGAAGTCTGTTGGTGTAGGGAGCCATGCGACAACCCCATTGCTGCCTCCCTGTCTCTCTCTCTCTCCTATGGGCACAACGTATCTGCCTACATTAACCATACTCCTCTCCTGCTTATGTCACATACCTGGACGTGATGATGACCCTGTTGTATTCATCCCCGTAGCTTCTTTCTGTCCCATCAGCCCGCCCTTGGCCTATAAAAGATGTGATCACCTCTGGAATAAATGGGGCTTGACTGGACTCTCTCAACTTGCCTCAGTCTCTCTCTGTCTCCCCCATGTCTCTATTTAATCTCCGTTCACCCTCCAGGAACACCCCATGGATTGATCCGTGGGCCAGATCATGTTGGCAGTGAGTCAAGTTTAATATCTGAGGCTAAAAATGGGACACCTTAAAATTCAAGCAACTACATTCAAGTATGTCATAGAAGAGTATAGTAAGAAGGGGAAAAATACTAAGAATGCTATAAATATAAGAGATAGACTTTTGGTATGAGAGGATTCATGATAAATGTCCTGTTCTGCTAAAGAGATAACAAGAAAGATAATAGCATGGTGAAAAACCTTATGTATGTTGACAAAAGCTTAAGGAAGTACTTTATGAAAAGAAAATATATGTATGGTCACTTACTAATTTGGTGGAGCGCAGGTTGTGCCTTCTAAAAATCCACCCAATGAAATGGTTAAATCAAGATGAGATTGCCAGTCAATTAATAAACTTTAAAAATAGGATGGGATGTCTATACTGTGTGTTACCCTGCTGAACACTAATATGGACATTTAGCTGTGTTAATAAACTAATGTCATCCCAATTGGAATACTGAGATGTAATGTGTGACTCTGGACCTCAGGTTCCTAGGTAAAACTGTGTAACTGCTATCTGGTAACATCCTGCAGGGACTCACCCACTCACACCGCCGTAGTTGATAGAAAATAATGGTCCCTGGAGAGCTCTAAATAGCAGAGCAGTAAGCAGCAGAGAAAGAGCCTCTTGGAGAGTCATCATCCACACTGGAATACAGAATGTGAAGAAGACAATAAGGAGGGAAGTGGTTACCCTGCACCCAAGAAGAATCCAAAGCATAAATTGTAGCCCATGGAGAGAGTGAAGAGAGAAAATTCAGTAAAGAAGGAGGTATCCAAAATGAAAATAAAAAGTAAAGACAAAAACAAACAAGAGATATAGAAAAGAAAAAAACCAAAATGTCCACTTCTAGGTTTGTCCAGGTTTGCCTTCTCCCTGAGTCGGACTCAATGTGCAGGAGGAGTGGTTCAAACCTGAGGATGCAGGGCTGCCTGGTAACCCCAGAGGCCTCAGTTGAGAGATGTGGCAGTGGAGGGGAGCTGCAGACAAGGAAGGGAACAGGGCACATGAAGGACTGCACTCCATCCAGCAGGGATCACAACCACTGAAGGTACTCAGAAGACAGTGAGCCAAATGTGACTGATCTTGGCCAGAAAGTACAGGCTTGCTGAGATGATCCACTACCTCACAGAAAAGCTACTGCTGGCTTGCTGAGATAGACTACTGGGGACTCTGCCTCCACAGGTTGTCTTCCAGGGAAAGCAGAGACAAATGTAGAAGTGGACCTTTTTGGTTTTTTCCCCCTTATCTCTTTCTTTTGTTTATGTTTTTAATTTTTGTTTTCATTTTGATTTTTTTCTCCTTCATTGTTTCATTGTTATATGAGAACATGGTTTTTACCCTCTTTGTGATAGTAGTTTTATATTCTTCTATCTCCTTTCTCTCTTTTCCTTCAGTCTTCGGCACCAGTTCCCCAAAATTAATGTAACCTCCCTTTATCCTCTAACCTTACTTCTAATCTTTTCTTCTCCTTCTTCCCCTTCTCTATTTTCCCCTCTACATATTTTAAATTTTAACTCCTGAGGGCAAGATGACATATTAAGGACCTGTATACTACATGTAATTTTCTGATCTGTTTTGGATTTTAATGTATAACCCAAAATCTAGTTCATATGTTTAAAAGTTGCAAGTGAATGGTTAGCTCAGTTTGTCATTTTCTAGTTTGTGTTTGATTGTACTGGTGCCATTATAGCCAAAAATGAGATAATTGTTTTAAACAGCTGTTCATCCTGGTATTCTCTAACTGACATATACTAAGGGTCACTGAAAATACAGTCGAACAGTACCAGTGAAATGGGGACTGGGCCAAACAAGCAGCAACTTGTCATCTTCAATAAACTGAGCAGGTAAGATCCTCTAACAGACTCAAAATCCAACAACCTGTAGCCCAGGAAGATACCCTGGAGATAGTCATTATCTAAGGGTCCTAAATTCTAGCAATAAAGCAACTCACAATAGGCAATTACAAACATCACCCTAGAATAAACTGAGAGAAAGAAAGAAAGAAAGAAAAGACAGACAGCAAGAAAGACAGAAAGAAAGAAGTAGAACACACATAAACAAGATGCAACCGGAGACCTCCACATCATCAAAGACACACCTGGGGGCATTGACATTGGACTATTTGAAAGCCTGAAATTTGGCCTCTTGAAGAGGTAAAAACAAAACAATTGAATGAGGCTCTTAAAAGAATCAAATCAGAAATAATCTCTCAGATAACTGCAAAGATGGGGTCCAAAATAAAGACCTATTTAGTTATGATAGAGCAGATATAGACAAAAATATAGACAAGATTAAGAAAATTTTCAAAGTCATGAATGCTCAGCATAGGAAGGAAATGGAATCCAAAAGGCATACTGAAGCAGATATCCAGTAGAATAAAAATTCTGTTGAAAGTATTTGAAGCAGATTAGGCCAATGAAAGGTCAGGACCTCAGATATAGAAGACACGCTTGCACTTAGTGATCAGGAAAAGAAAAATTTCTCAAAAATAGCAAGGGACCATGAGAAATCAATCCAAAATTTGATAATGTAGAATAATTAAAGATTGGCTGGAGTCCATGAAAAAGCAGGACATAACACAAATGACATGTAAAATGGTCCCATATGTCATGGCAGGAAACTTCTCTATTAGAGAAAAAGAATTTGACATACAAATCAGTGGGGCATGTAGAACTCCAATTAGCCACAACTAAAAACAATCTACAGCCAAACATATGATATTCAAGAAAGTCCAGAAATTCAACGCAAGAATAGAATCTTAAAAGCTAATAGAGAGTGACTTCCAGGAGAACATGTTGGACAGATAGCAGCAGCTATGGAGGCTCTCGGAAAGACCCAGCTTAGAATCCAGGAATTGTGCGGAGTGAGGAATCCTAAGCAAGAGGAGATATGGCCTGCTGACCCAAGAACAAACTGGGTTGAGAGAAACCAATTGGGAATGCAATCCTGGTGCTATAACATGAACAGATAAAGCCTCAGTGTGGAAGGTGGAGCCAGTGCCATTGGAATCTGCAATTTGGGTTTCCTGCCACCGTAGCTGCATCTCAATCAGCTCGGCAGGAAGAGAGACGCGTGAATGCTCTGAAAACGGGAATAGGTGAATGGAATTGAGAGCAGGACAGGCGGAGAGCTGTGCATCAACCCGTGGTGAGTAAGAGAAACTGGGACTCTTCCATGGTCCAGGAGGCTCCAACAGAGGACATTCTGGGACTGGGCAGACTTGCCGGAACAGGGCGCTGTAGTGACTTCAGTCACCTATTCCCCTCTCAAGCAGGATTGGTGAGCAGTGTCTACCTTACTTGATGCTGCTGGCTGAGACCCAGTAGGCTAGCACAACCCAGGTCCCAGTGCCTGAAGGTGACCTGGAGGGGCGGGCCCTGCATAGGCTGCCTGGTCCATAACTCCCTGGTACGCTGTGGTGGGTGGGAACACCTAGCCAGTGCAATTCAATCAGACTGTGGCCAACAGGCAAGGAAGTTAGGTCTCCTATGTACACTTGCATATCTAAGGAACAAAGAATATGGGAAGAGGGAGCAACAAGAAAGGCGGCTGGGCCCCCAATCCTAAGAAACAGGCAATAGCAGACACAGTACCAATAGACATAAAGTGCTATCTCCAGAGCCTCATAGATGAGTTCAGGAATGAAGTTATTAATGACCTGAAGCTAGACATAAGCAGAATAGTTAGAGAAATGCTAAGCACCACCCAAGAAAAAACAGATGGTGCAATGGAAGAACAGAAAAAGAGGGGAGAATTGTTTAATGGAGAAAATAGAGAAAGCATAGAATACATGAAGCAGGTTCAAAGAGATTACCAGGAAACTAAAAACTCTATTGAAAGCTGGCATAAGAGCTTGAAAGAAACTAAGAGTATATTATCTGAACTGGAGGACAGATTTGTAATGTGGGAGCATGAAAGGAAAAACTTCTTAAAAATAACAAAGAAACAAACAGCAATAATACAAAGACTAGAAGATGATAAGAGGATCTATAACTTAAGAATTAAAAACATAAAAGAAGAGGTAGGGACACAAACCAATGAAATACAAAAGCTACTAGCAGAAATAATCCAGGAGAATTTTCCTAGTTTAGCAAAATTAGAGATACTCAGATGTATGAAGCATTCAGGACCCCAGCCACCTACAACCCCAACAGAGCTATATCCAGGCATATAATAATCAAAATACCAGAAATCCAATGTAAGAACAGAATATTAAAAGCTGTCAGAGGCAAGAAACAGATCACTTACAAGGGAACACCCATCAGAATTACAGCAGACTTCTCAGCACAAACCATCAAATCACAAAGAGTGTGGGGGAAATAATTCAAGTTTTGAAAGATAATAACCTCAAGCCAAGATTGATATATCCTGAACAAGCCCTGGACATTGATGGAAAAACAAGGTACTTCCAGGATAAAGAGGAACTAGGGGAATATGCAACCACCAGTTCAACTCTACAGAGAATACTGCAGGATATTCTTAAAAAGAAAAATATGAAGAATCCAGAAATAGTGGCAGAGCGGCCAAAATGAATGGAGCAGAAAACAAAATGAAGAAGACAAACTGACAACTAATGACAGAAAAAGAGCTCAACAGAAAAGAGGCGGAGAAGATTGGATGATAGGAACAGCTATTTTGGGAAAAAATGACATCATAATAGGTAATGCTGATTTAATATCATCTTGTTTTGAAGTCTCATCAAGCTTTTGTTGTTATGTCTCCATTGGTCTTAACATGTTGTATCTTATTGGATTTTATTATATCTGATAGTATAAACAAAAACTTTTATAGTCAAGGAGATTATACAGAAACCATTGTTCATTTTCTGTTAGTTGATTCTAAATACCCTGTAATAATGTCATTCTCTTGAATGGTTTTACATTGTTTTGATATATTTGATGCTACAGTATACGAAGTTATACTCTAAGATTTCAAGGAAAGAGACAATATGGTAACTACTTTTATGTCGGGATTATCTTGTGGTGAAACACTATTTTGCTTAAATGGTTATTTATTGATCTGTGCTGTTTTGTTGTTATGCCCTCTTTTGTCTCAATCTCCATTTTATTATTTGCTTTGTTATTTTATCCCTTTAATTAAGGGAAAAATAAATTAAAAATAACAAAATACATTATAGTAACCCACTTTGATTTCCTATTAACTTGATTTGAAGCCCTGTATTGCTCTCACTATCTTGTTTTGACTGATGTTCCTCTATTCTGTTTTGCTTGATAGTACCAGGTTTGAAAGTTTAGGCAACAGCTGTGAAGATAGTGGGATTCATTATGACGCCAATTCTGGTTGACTATTATCTAATTTTGAAGACCTGTAATGTCTCCAATGTTTTGGTTTTGTTCTTTACTGCTTTGTTCAATTTTATTATAACTGATGATATAGGCAATTCTATTAGAGATAGCAGGAGGCATTATGGTAACCATTGTTGATCACCTTGTATTATGTTTTTACATTATCTATTATGTCCACCCTTTTGATTTGACCGACTCTGTTCTGTTATGTCACATTTGGTTTTACTCTCTTCCAAAAAAAGTAATAAGAACTGTGGGAGCACTAAAACCCAAAATGTGTAATAGTCATTGTACAAAAGAGAGGAAAAGAAAGTGCTCTAAACGATAAAACTGCATGTATATTTAAGTGTATAAAATAGACAATGATATTACTGAGTTTTGTTGGATTATTGAACAGAACTGCTTGGTCTCACTGTTTGAATGTCCACTATATAAGATTCAATTTTGTAACTTGAACAAATATTTCTAAGATGACAATATGTAATCCATTAACTAGTGATTTCCTACTGTTTATTTTTTTGTAAAATTCTGTATAACAAGTTATAACTTGTTATAACTTGTACAAGTTATAACTTGTACCCTTTTTCTGCTTTTTTTTCTTTTTCTCCTTAAATAAATTTTTTTTAAAAAGCTAATAGAGAAAACAAACAAATCACCTATAAAGGAAAGTCAATCACAATAACAGCTGACTTCTCAGCATAAACATTCAAGTTAAGGAGAGCCTGAGTCAAGTATTTCAAGTTCTAAAGAGGAACAACCTGCTTCCCAGATAAATGTATTCTGCAAAATAACCTTTCAAAACTGATGGAGAAATAACATACTTTCATGACAAAGAACATCTGAGGAAATTTGTGACCACAACACTAGCACTCTAAATATTGTGACCACAACACTAGCACTCTAAAATATTTTGAAGGACATTACAGAGAGAGATAACTCCATGAACCCCAAAAGAAGGAACCCACCAAGGAAGGCAAACAATTAAACAGAGAAGAGGAAGAAGTCAGGGAAAAGCCAATAGGAAGAAAACAACATGACAAGGGTAGGTCAAAACATATCAGTTATAGTCCTCAGTGTTAATGGTCTACAATCACCAATCAAAAGGAACAGACTGGAAGACTTGCATAAAGAAACAAGACCCAACAATAAACTCCATACAACATATTTTAGTCAAAAAGAAATTCACAGACAGAAAGTCAAAGGATGGAAAACAATACTCCATATGACAGGAACCCAGAAAAACTGCAGGAGTAGCTAGTCTATTTGCAGACACAGTGAATTTCAAGCCAAGACTTATTAAGAGATATAATGAAGGTCAATATGTCCTTGTAAAGGGAACAATCCAAGAGAAAGCAATAACAATAATAAATATATATGCAAAAAATACTAGTGTACCCAGCTATATAAAAGAAATACTAAAAGGCATGAAAAATCAAAGAAGCCCTAATACAATTGTATTGGGAGATCTCAATAGCACACTGCCACAAAAAGATAGATCAACTAGACAAAAAATTAATAATGAAGTATCAGAACTGTACCAAACTTGAACAAATGGCCTTGGTAGATGTCTGTAGAGTGCTCCACACATGACATCAGAATAACATTCTTCTCAACTGCACAAAGACATTCTCCAAGATAGATCACATACTAGTGCATAGAACTTACTTAACTAAATGCAAAGGAATTCAAATTATCCCACGAATAATATCAGACCACAGTGCAATGAAATTGGAAATCAATGGCAGAAGAAACCACAAGAGCTTTATAATCACATGGAAATTAAATAGCACCCTCCAAAACAACCAGTGGATCACAGATGAAATTAAAGGAGAGGTTAGACCCTTTTACAGCTGAACAATAATGACACTATAACATATTGGAACTTATGGGACACAAGTAAAGCAGTCCTGAGAGGGACATTTATAGCAGTAATGTCCATAACAGGAAACAGAGCATGTGCACATAAACAACTTAATGGTGAACCTCAAAATTCTGCAAAAAGAAAAGCAGGTGAAACCAAAAGCTCGTACAAGGCAGGCAATTATAAAACCCAGAACACAAAGCAACAGACTAAAAAATACAAAGACTCAATTAATTGAAAGGTTGCTTCCTTGAAAATGTAAATAAAATCAACAAGCCCTTAGGAAACCTTATCAAAAAAGAAACAAAACAGTCAGATTCATGGAGTTAAGAATGAAAAAGATGAAATCAAAACAGATCCTGCAGAAATGTAGATCATCTATACCTACTTTGAAAGTTTGTATTCTAATCAGATAGAACATACAGAAGAAATGGACAGATTCCTAGATACATATGAATTACCAAAGCTGAATCAAGAAAATATAATATCCCAAATAAACCAGTATCAATCAATGACATTGAAGAGGTAATTAGAAACCTACAGACAATGAAAAGCCTAGACCCTGAAGAATTCACTGCTGAACTCTACAAGAAATTTGGAGAACAAATAACACTACTTCTCCAACTCTTTAATGAGATTGAAAGAGAAGCAATACTCCCAAATTCATTCCTAGATGTAAGCATTACCCTGACACCAAAACTGGAGAAGGACTCAACTAAGAAAGAATTACAGCCCCATCTCCCACAGATGCCAAAACCCTCAATAAGATACGGTCAAACAGAATGCAGAAGATTATACATCATGACCAAGAGGGATTCATCCCAGGGATGCAGGGATATGTAAATCAACAAATGTAATACACCATATTAACAGAGTCAAAGACAAAAATCATATGATCATCTCAATAGATGTAGAAAACTCTTTTCACAAAGTCCAGCACCAGCTTATGATAAAAACCCTACAGAAAATTGCAATATGTGGTTCTTATCTCAATATGATAAAAACCATCTATAACAAACCAACAGACACCATCATATTAAATGGCGCTAAACTGAAAACATTCTCTCAAAAAGCAAGAACAAGACAAGGATGTCCATTACCTCCAGGCTTATTCAACATAGTCATGAAAACTTGAGCTGGAGCAATTAGACAAGAGAAAGAAGTAAAGGAACAAAGATAGGAAAAGAAGAAGACAAAGTTTTGTTATTTGCAGATGACATGACACTCTACATAGAAGACCCCCCAAAACACCACTAAAAACCTGGTACACTTAATAAGCAAATTCAGGACTGAAGCTGGATACAAAGTCAACTTTCAAAAATCAATAGCCTTCCTGTACATGAATAATAAACTCACTGACAGAAATTAAGGAAACAACACATTTCACAATAGGATTCAGAAAATTAAACACTAAGACTCAGTCTAATGAATAAAGTAAAAGACTTCAACATTGAAAACTACAGTACTCTGAAAAGGGAGATTGGGAGGATATTCAAAAATGGAAAGACAGCCCTTGTTCTTGAGTAGAAGAACCACGTGAAAATGGTCATATTTCCAAAACTGCTACACATATTTAATGCAATCCCAATCAAAATTCCAATAGCATACATCACAGAATAAGAGAAAACAATCCTAAAATTCATCTCAAACTAGACAAAACCTAGAATAGCAAAGGCAGTCCTGGGCAACAAAGGCAAGACAGGGGCTAGCACAATCCCTGACCTGAAATTATATTATAAAGCTACTGTGATAAAGACATTGTGGTACTGGCAAGAAAACAGACCTGAAGATCAGAGAAACAGATCATAAGATGCAGAAACAACTCCAGACATAATAAGCTACTTTGTCTTTGACCAAGATGCCAAACACATTTACTAGAAGAAAGATAGCCTCTTTAATAAATGATGCTGGAAAATCTGGCTCTGCACAGGCCAAAGATTAAAATCAGACTCCATATGTTACACCATGCACCAAACTAAATTTGGAATGCTCAGAGATCTAAATTTGAAAACAGAAACATTAAACCTGGTGGAAGATAGAATAGGTAAAACCCTTGCAGACACTGGTGTACACAAAGACTTTATGAATAAAACCCTAATTGCACAGGAAATATCACAAAGAATCATAACTGGGAACTGGTCTTATTAAAATGCCTTTGTACAGCAAGGAACCCACCAACAGAGTGAACAGACAACCCACAATACTGGGGAAAATGTTTGCCAGCTGTTCCTCAGACAAAGGATTACTGGTTCATAGTAAGTGAACCTGTATGGAATCACTGGTCCTGGCTGAGGCCTGTAGTGGTCTGTGAGGCCAGAGACACCTCAAAGAGCAAGAAAAGGCCACAGCTGGGGACTCTTGGCTCAAACATCAATTAAGTAGATAGAGATTGCAGCTGTAGGAGTTACCACTACAGTCTCACTTCTACGATGTCATCATGAAGATAAGATGGTTCTCCTAGATTGACACGATTCATTACTTGGAGACATCCTTGAAGTGACTCCCAAGGTCCTGCTCATTGCCTGCTCTTTCCTCAGTTTCCCCAATCTTTGTTTTGGACCTAATAAATATGGGTGGTCCAGACAAGCCTTTGCTTATCCCTCAGTGTCTTGAACTCAGCTAAAGGCTTTTGAGCCCTAAAATCATACAACTTGTCTCACTTTAGTTAAGCCTTTGCTGTACATTCGTTGCAGAGATTGGGGATCTAGATCAGGACCTGATAATTTAGCTCACTATTTGTAGTGGTTTCAGTCCATAATCAGCTGGCTGTAAGGCATGGTGGCCTGGCACAGGGGCAACACTTCAAGGAAGCAGCCAGAGCAAAAGAGGAGAAAACAAGCCTCTTCTCCTCCCTTATATTGTACAAAGGTCACTACTATCCCCCTTTCAGGCGAGTGTAGCACTCAAAAAATCTCCTTGCCATCCTTTGCACAGGATGAGGATATTTAGAATCTGCTGAGTCTCTCAATTAAATTTCTAAACTTCTCCACTTGACACAATACATCAATCATAACAGGCTGTTGTAATTCCATATGCCTGCTCAGACTGTTAGTCCCTGGGAGAAGCCAGCTGCCTACCTGTCTTAAACACTGAACTCAGTGTCAAGAAAAGGTCCTGCCCATTTGCAGGTAACTGCTTCCACTGCCTACTTAATCAAAGAGGCACACAAATTAACTTTGGGACATGGAGATGAATAAGTCTGGAAACAGCACCCAAAGACAAGGAAAACTGGGGAAATAACTGATGAACAAGACTGGCCTCACTGTGGACACCTGTAACCACCTTCTTGGGAGTTTGGAATGCCCAAAGGACTGGGAAACAGTCTGTTTGGAGCCCAAGAATGTCTTGAAAGCTTTAAAAACAATCAAAAAGTAAATAAAGCAGTGCCAGTGATAGAGCTGATAACATGAAATTAAGCCTACAAGATATCTCTCAAATGGTCAGCTGGTCCAGGGGTTGGGTTTTGCAGGATGTGCAGAGGACAGTTCCAGAAA